TGTTGCGTAGTTGGGCACTCGAACTAGGTGGCGTGCCAGGAGTGGAGTCAGAGCATCTTCTGCCCCAAGTCCTTAGATAGGGATTTCTGGAGTCATTGTTTGCTGGCATCCAATACCCACTGCTAACCGTCTATCTTTCCTTAGCGTGCACAGTACGCCAGCCGGCAAAGCTGAGTCACAGTCCATTGCAGCACCAGACTGGTGGTGGTTGACTTGAAATAGTAGCATGACTCACGCAGTGAAGTTCAACACAGATTTGAATGCGTCTGCGGCTGCGCCCGTAATATTGCACGGCTCATGCGTACGTGATCAGCCGACGTGAACGTGACCCGCTGCTCTGGTGATCCGAAACTCAGGAAGGAAGCCAGACGTGGCCTCGCTGTGCCGACACTGAGTTCGTACATTTGCGACTCGTCTCGAGCCCGCTGTTTCTCAGGGAGCTCGCACCCGTGCCGGCAATATAGAGAGCTTTAGCAGATCGTTTTTTGCCCCGATAACGATATTGCCTCTCCCCTCCGGCGGCCTTGGGCATGCATCGTATCGTTATCGGCTGTCGTTATAGGGGCGAAAACACGATCTGCTAAAACTCTAATATCAGGTCACAATCCACGATGTTCCTGTTTAGATGATGCTAGGCGAAACTTGAGGACTGCAATTCATGCGCCGTTTTCGACGGGTCGGCAAGAAGGACCTTTGCCACAAGGATGCCACCGTATACCGTTTTCTTTTTCAACTGTAAAACAGAAGATAAGACATGTGTTCCAGGATGCTTCAGTAGTCCACTATTCTCGACAATTCCAAATGACACTGCCTGCACAATCTTCAAGGAGGCAACCTAAAACGAAAATACGTATTGTCCTTTCGTACATCAGCGTGGTAAAGTTCCATGCTCAAGGCCACATCTACACATAAAGAATAGCAGTTCATTCCACCGTGACGTCACGTGATCATTGATGACAGAAGCGTCCTTATGGGACAGGGGCGTGGTGACGTTTTGATGAGATTTAGACTGACATAGAATTTATTCAGAACTCGATCGAAGTCCTTTCGTATCCCTCGTCAGACAGACAGGATGTCAGGGAAGGGACCATGGTCAGTCCTTGATGGAACTTTTTTTTTTTTTTTTTAGCCCATTTAAGACTCTTCGTCGTCCAAAACCACTACCTTCAAGGCAAAGTACCAAGCCTACGGGAAAGTAATTTCGGGATCAAAAACTTTCACTTCAAACTTCAAGCTTCATCTCAGTTGGCGTCTCAAACAAATTTGAAAAATGTATTGCAGTATCGGTATTTCTGTATTTCTATTTCTGTTCTCCCTAAAATGTAATCCTGTATTTGTATTTCCAAATACTTTTTGCCTCTATTTAAAATGTATTTCTGATACGTATCGTGATACGTTTTTACAAATATATTTTAGTATCAGTATTTTTGCTACTATTTCAAGGTATCCCAGTATTTGTATTTCCAAATACATTTACGAGTATTTCTGCCCAACCCTGCTTACATGTCGCCTCAATTCGTTTAGAGCCAGTGTACGGTTAGTTTCGTATTTAATATTTTGCTACGTGTTCAAGACGTATTTATAATATTGCATCAATTTTCACATTTTCAATAATTTATTATTACTGTGTCTCCAATGAGTTTTATCATGTGGTTTGCTGGTTGTTTTATTGCAAGCGTGTTGAAGATAAACGAACATAGCTTCCGTAAAGTCACTAGATGTTAATAATAGCCACTGAATGCAATCCAATCGAATCCACAGCCTATTGTTGTCATGCTTTGCTTGGCTTTGCCGTGTGCGTTTGCAGATCTGTCTTGAGCTCAATTTCCCCATTAGTCGTGATGCGTGGAGTTTGCCGTAGTTTCAAATGTGTCCGAAAGAAACGGAAGCCACTGTGAGACGTGGAACTACGTCAAATCTGCTCAACAACTAAGATCATGGCACGGTCGTTCCGATGTAAGTTAGTTTCTTTGTTATTTTTGTTCGTTAGGGCTAGATTCTTTTTTTCCTGCGTTCAAAGGCTTGTTATTGTCTCTAGATCGCTTGCCTCTACAAGCATTATTAATTGTGCACGAATACTGTTCTGCGAGGCTGTTTTTCTTCCGTTTTCCCCGATGCAGAGCACTCCATCCTCACGCTAATTATCGTTCACAAATGAGCACTTAGGCTGCGTACTCGCTCAAGGCCCATCAGTGGCGGCGGAACTCTCTTTGGGAGATGGGCCGCGGGGAAGGGAGGGGGGGGGGGGGGGGGGGGGGGGGGGGGGGGGGTGCAAAGGCAGAAAGGGAGGGCGGGATGTTTGATTGCCTCCATCCACCGTATTGTTTATTGGTAAACTATAATGTTTGGAAGACCGCGGTGCCCCTCTATCGCCACAGCCACTAGGTTTCACATTATGGGTGGATGCTGTGCGCGTACTTGCGTGCGGGAAGCTGGGCCAGGCAAAAGGCAGCGATTGATTAAGCGAGCAAGCCCGTAGCTTCCGCCGCCCAGTCGTCTGCAAGCGACTTTATTTTCGCGATTCGTATTCAGAAAAGCGTTGCTAAAAACTCGGGCCGCGATGAATTCGCCCCATGGTGATTAATGCACAGCCTACCACTTCCAATCGCAAAAATTTGTGCCTGCTAAATAATGTTTGACACCGGCAGTTTAAGTAATTCCTCGCGAAATGTCAAGTAACGGGCAGTAGTTCAGCTTGTTGATGCATAATACTATAACATGGCCAGCTAAACTAAGGAAAATTGAATATGGATAGAAAACAAGGAGTACATACCACTGGTGTCCGTCTCTTTTTCTCTCTATATTCTACACCAGCGGTATGCCTGTCTCTTTTTCCCTCTATATTCTACACCAGCGGTATGTATGTCTCTTTTTCTCTCTATATTCTATTTTCCTAAGTTTAGCTGGCCCTATTATATAAATTTCTAGCTCTTAAGTATCATAGGCTGTACACGTGTTTCGTATGATCCAATGCACGTGCAACGATTTTCACACCTCCAGATTCACCACTTGAAGCAACCTAAGGTTGCTTCAAGTAGTGAATCATTTATTCTCTTCCTACTGGTGTTTTTAGAGGTTATGAACAGGCACGTAGCCAGGGGGAGGGAGGGGGGGCCCATGGGACCCGCCCCCCCCCCCCCCCCCCCCCCCCCCCAAATGCGCCCTCAAAAAAAGGAAAAAAATTTAGAATAAAAGCTCTTTTTTTAATGCTTACTTCGATGTTTACGTTTACTTTACTCTCTCATGGTGTAGTTTATGTACCGGTGACAAAAACTTTAATTGTGAGCTTGAAGTTACTATGGCTGATGACGAATCTATTGCTTTTGTAGCCCCAATGCAAGCATCAAGAACGATCACCACGGAAACGGTGAGTCCGGCCGCTCTTTCAAGGCAACAAGAGCAGACGGCGCCGGTCGGCACCGCCACGCCGTCTGTAGACCGCGTACCGCCGACGGACGCGCCTACTCTCATCCCTCGCGACGACGCAAGTGACAACAACACGTGACGACCGAAAGCGCTGATTGCTTGGCGCCGGTTCAGACTTTCTCGCAGATACCATGCTCGAACGCAAATATCAAGCACATCCACATCGCTGAAAACTCCGAAAACGCGGCAAAATACGCCACGTTTCGAGAAGGAGGCGCAGGAAGCGACATAAAGGCGCACGCGCCTCGAATATGTATTTGTGGTGACCAATAAACAGCTCGAAGCTCACTGACAACAGAAAGAATAAAACAAACTCCGGACAAGGGACGACGAACATTTCTTTCAACTGGCAACAACATGAATGAGCCCAAAAGCACTCCCTGCAATTCAGAACCGTCAAGAAAAAATCAGAGAAGAGGTATGTGCAATGTATTATGTGCGTGTTCGCCACGTCTAGCGAACATGACCTACAGAGCCAAACAACGCCGGATATAACCGGAGACGCCGGAGGGAAGGGCCATGCGGCGGGCAACGGAGATGCACGGGACGCCTGGAAGCAACAGACTGGGCGCGGAACAGACAGAAAAAGAGATCATTGTTACCTACACGCTCTGCAGTTAATGCTCGAAGCTCGTTCTTTGTTTTCAAGCTCGCCTTTCTTCACCCTTTTGTCGCCATTCGTTCTGGATCTTTTGGTGGTTGTCCAAACCACCGAGACTCTGGCGACTTCTGCACTAAAAAGGAGTCGTTTCTTATTCCGTATTTTTGTCGCGTGAGTGAGAAATCTACACACTGGTGCGTGCGACTCGATCAGTTAGCTAAGGATGCGATCTTGAAAGTCGGTCATGAACAAAGACTGGTCCAGTCAGGGCTCGCGGGCCAGCAAGCGAAAAGGGTCATCGTTGAAGTTGACAAGTTTCTTCTCCAAAGTGCCAAAGGTATGAATTTCATGATTTCATATTATAAGCGAATTCAACTGCAGCGCATTTATTTGTGTTTAATATGATTTTGTACGTGCACAGATTGTCTACCGAATGCTTGGAGGTAACATTTCCGACGCTTTTCCAAACCACACTCGACTGTCATGTCGCGGAATAGGTTGTATCACAATCGGGGTCCAATACTGCCATAACTATTTCCGATGGAAATAAAAGAAAAAGTATGTCCTTAGTTTTGAAATTTCCTATCGACATCTGAGCCTCTGGTTTCAATGCGCATGTTTCACGCTAGATAAGATTCGCCTGGCAAACCTACTCTGAAGCTATCGTTGTGGTATTCAAGGCATTGAGCCCATATATATCTTGCATTCTCCTTTGCCATTTTGATATAATATTTACGTCGGATGATAGTACAATAAAATGCAAAATGTCTTTCAGATAAATGTTGATATTCTACAAACCATATTTCTGGAGGATCTTAACGATGCCTTTTTGTGTTGTGTAACTAGGAGGCAAGCCCCGGGCCGTCGCAAGCCTCTTCAAGCGGAGAGCTAGTAGCACCAGTCCTGACGCAAGAAAATGCAGCGACACTTCAAGCTGAGGAAGACACAAAAACGGCCATCTCAACAAGTCAAAATGACGCTGGGATGGATGTTCGCTAACCGTACAGATATTTCTGATGACGTCGATAAATGGGTCTATTCTAAAGTATGGACGCCACCACCAAACTATGCGTTCGATGTGTCAGTGCCAAAGGGTGGCAAGAAAGGCAAGTTTCAGTCCCATTGGCTGCAGCGCTACAAGTGGCTTGCATATTCTGGTGTGCAAAAGGATGCATTTTGCAAGACGTGTGTCCTCTTTCACGCCAAAACAGGAGCTGGAAAAGGCTCTCACCGAGAGTGCAAGAGCCTCGTGACATTACCCTTTACAAGGTGGAAGGACGCCATGGAGTCCTTTGAAAACCACTCAGAGACAGACTACCATAAGAGGGCGACTGTTGACGCCCAAAGCTTTTTAGGTGTGATGACAGCCAACGTGGACAGCATCCAGATGCAGCTGAACAAGCAAGCCAAAGAGGAGCACGATAGCAACAAAGCCAAGCTGCGCGCGATCGTTGAGACTGTTCTCCTATGCGGCAGACAAGACCTGGCACTCGGGGGTGACAACGATTCTGGGCGGCTGACTCTGGAAGAATCGGTCAAAAACGACGGCAACTTCAGGGCACTGCTTCGCTACCGAGCAAACGTTAGGGACTGTATTTTGGCTGAGCACATTCGGACAGCTGGAAACAATGCTGTTTACACAAGCCCTACAATCCAAAATGAGGTCATTTCCATAATCGGGAACCTAATTCAGGATAAAATTGTGCCAGCGGCCACTCGAGGAACTGCACGTGGCGTCTATTTTGGCTTTAATCGGTCATTCTGGCGCCGAAACAGATACAGCGAAAGAGGTAATAGGGGGGCCACCATGACCATACGAGAAGATTTCCTTTGTTTCATGGCCATCGAGGATGTTTCTGCTTCCAACTTCGCTCACACACTGAAACGCGAGCTTCTAAAACTTGGGCTGAATTTGAAGTTGATGAGAGGTCAGAAATACGATGATGCCGCCGTGATGAGTGGGGCATTCCGCGGTGTCCAAGCGCTCATTGGTGACGAATTTCCAACTGCGTTGTACACGCACTGCTCATCACACTCCCTCAATCTCTGTCTAAGTGACGCCTCGGCTGTTCAAGACATTAAACGGGCCTTTGGCACGATCAGCGACATTTGCTCATTTTTCTGGGCTTCACCGAAGAGGACTGCTCTTCTCAAGAGGCACCTTGAAGAGTCGTCACGGTCATTCTGTCGACTAGGGCGATACTGTGAGACGAGGTGGATGGGGCGTCACGAAGCCGTTTCCCTGTTGAGCGAAGCACTGCCTCAAGTAGTAGCCGCTTTGGAAGACCTTATTGAAAACACCCGTGACACGACAAGCACTGCAACCGCGTCTGCTCTCCACCCCCGAGTGTGCTCCTTTAACTTTCTCATATGTCTCGCTGTAAGTGAGAGGTTCTTGGGGCTCACGCATCACTTGTTGGAGTACCTGCAAAGCACTTCTGTAGACATGAGCGTCGCCTTAGAACACGTCGACTTGGTACTAACTAAATTGGAGGAAATGTCCGCGAATTCTGAAGCAGAATTCACAAAATTTTTGATGCCTGTGAAAAATCAGCGAATGACTTTGGCGCAACTTGTGAGATGCCACGAGTAGTAGGCGCGCAAAAGTATCGGGCTAACCAGTCTGCAAGCTCTGTGGGAGAATACTACAGGCGAGCGACGTTCATTCCCTATATCGACGATCTGCGGGCTTCTCTCGAGCGCCATTTTGCAAGCCATAAATCAACGCTCAAGGGCCTACAGTTTGTTTTGCCAAGACAAGCTGCCAAATGTGACTTCGAGTCTGTGCAACCGGCATTCGAATTTTACATCGAAGACATGCGACCAGCGCACATTCCAGCGATAAGAGGAGAATGGGAAATTTGGAAAGCAAAGTGGCAAAGAGCAACAGAAGAACAATTGCCGCGGTACGCGACGGACGCGCTGTTGCGCTGCGAGGAGAGCTTGTTTCCCAATGTACACACCCTGCTGAAGATTCTGGCGACACTGCCAGTGACGACTGCGACTGCGGAACGCAGCTTCTCCACTCTCAGGAGGCTGAAGACGTACCTGAGAAACCGGACAGCTGAAGACCGACTTAATGGGCTGGCTCTAATGTCAGTTCACAGAGCGCCAGTAAGCGTCGACGAGGTAATCACGAGGTTTATGAGGAAGCCACGCAAAATGAAGATCACAACATAAGTTGTACGATTAGACTGGTTCCAAAGGCAATTTTTCTATCATATTGTTCAAGGAAAATACAACAATCAGTGAAGTGTTTGCAGCACTATGTTAATATTTTGCTTTTTTTTTCATTTGTTCAATGCACTCCTATTTTCCATGTGAAGACGACCGTGTTCATTTTTTTTTTCATTTTAGAGTTCGTTTTGTCAGTGACTTTCATTCATGTACTTTTTTCCCTCCAAAGTGAGTCAGGCGGCATGGCGACTGGCCCTCGCGAGCTGCAGCAATAAAGCTTTGAACCCTGACTTCCTTACAGATCATACGGAAAGAATAAAAACACAGAAAAGAAAAGATCAAAACTGCCACAGACAATGTTTCCGAGCCCTCATTGTCGTTATCGACAGCAGAGATGAATTTCCTAGCGCCGGAATTGTCATAAAAAACATCTCCCGTTTCTTCTTCTTCTTCTTCTTCATCCTTTTCAGGAGTTAAATTCCGCTATCTTTACCTTTTTCTTTTTCTCTTTCTTTATCTTTTTCTTTTTCTTTTTCTAGTACCTTCTAGTCTTTTCGTCTTCACTTAATTTTCTCCGTATCCAAGGTGGTTCATCATAGTGTAATGGGCATCATTTAAATGTAGTTGCTCGTTGAAAGAACTGTGTTTGTCTGTCCCTCGTGTATTTTCTGTGTTTTTATTCTTTCCGTGTGATCTGTACTCTATCCAACGCGCTCTGCTATGTGTACCTGACTTCCTTCTTTTTTATGGGATAAAAATATTAATAAAGTGCATTACTATTATTAATATTAAATCGATTATAAAATATGGAGTATTGTCGCTAAAAATACAATTCCAGGGAAACAGTAAAATAAATTCACTTATTATGCCCAGTAAAAAAAAAAAACAGGAAAAAGGAAAGTACAACTACGGGGTAAATTAAGAAGCAGTAAAGCGAAATGAAATCAAAAGAAGTATTTTAGCCTAAAAATATCCTTTTGTGTCGTATATGCTCTGATTTAAGGTGCTTTTCTAAAAAAATGATATGCTAGTCTAGCTCTGGTACATTCGAACATATCATATACTAATATTTAGATGACCATGGGTGGACGAAAAAAAGCGTAACACATAATGTAAATTGGGGCTAGTAGAGGGAGTTCATTTAATGCGTTAAATAATGTTGCCATCCCACCCTGAAAACAAATCCTGGCTACGTGTCTGTACCCTTACCATTTATATGGCTAATCTGACGGCGAGGGCTTCGCAGCGGTGGGGTTGCGAAGTGCTCAATGTTTTTTTGGCAAGACATGGGAAATGTAATGGGAAGGCAGTGTCGTACTGACAAGTAATTAAAACTATTGTCTTTTACGACAGTAATTAGTAACGGTAATTTAGGAATCATTAGCTTGTATTCTATTACGTTTATGATGCAACGGGGACAAGTTTGCTGCAGCGATAGCTCGACCCCCCCCCCCCCCCCCCCCCCCACAAAAAAAAAAAAAAATCCTGGCTACGTGCCTGGGTCTGAAGTATTAATTACAAGATTCTGGATACATTTGCAAGCATGTCCTGAATTAAGGTAGTTTCTCGCTAGTTCATGGAAGGTATATTTTGTTCAGTTGAAGTATATAGTGTTACACATACCTCACCCAACCCTGTTTTTTTTTTTGTTTGGTGCTGCCTTTAGCGAATGGTGTAGGTTGTAATTGTTGTTAGTTGTTGCATAATGAAGTAAGGTGGTGAGCTGGTACTAATTGAACACCGTGAACACTATTTCACAAAAAGTCAAGGAGACAAGAGGTGTAACACGTAGACCACATACAAGCACAGACTCGCAACTCGCATAAATCAGAGAAGGAAAAAATGAAGAACGCAGAAGGAGCTCGAGCACAGGCCCAAGTGGAACGTGCTCACTCAGCCGTTAGCGAAAGCGGATTTTAAAAACATCATTTCCTTGTCAGTTATGGTAACAGATGGATGGCTAATGCATAAAAGCAGCTCAATCTCTCTCTAAAATTTAAGATGGATTGCCACCTACCTATGCACCGTTTACACTGCTCGTGTATGACATTCCTTAGACAAAACGTGAATAATTAGCAGATGACTATGACAAACTATATAACTAATATTTAATAACTATGAAAAACATACAAGGGGATAATTTTAGGCCTTTATTATTCGTAGTAGGGGCGAGCAATGTGTCCGCACTGTCGTCTGTTGCCTGACCTGCCGAGGAAATCTATTTTACAGTCTTATACATATGGGTGAATTAGCACGTTCCACTTGAACCTGTTTGAACTTTTGCTAAAGCTCCTTCCGCATTCTTTCTTTTTTTCTTCTTCTTTAGTTTATGTGAGTTGAGAGTCTGCACTCGTATGTTGTGTATGCAGTCCTCTCCTTTATTCCTTGTTTTTTGTGTGCTAATTTTCAACGTGTTCAATCAGAGTGAACTCTCCACCTTACTACATGAAAAGGCTGTTGTTAATTCCGGAGTGTGTGTAAAACACTCTACCTGACATATATACCTCACGCCCCGGTTCCTGAAGCTCACACATAGACACAGCGCTGTGTCTGTGTGTTTTCTTTTCTCAGCACTGTGTCTGTCTGTTCCCTTTTACTGGTCCTTCGCCTTTTTGTGCTGTTTTAACCCATTTAAAATGAGCATCAACTAACTCGCCCAACTTTACACCTTGTTGCATCTCCTTTCTCCGAGTACAGCGTTTCTGATTTTTCTGATCCTCTTTCCTTTTTTTCTTTCGTGTTCAATAGATCGAGTTGCGAGTGTGCACCAGTCTGCGCCCTGCCTGTTCCTGTCGTTTGCCTTTGCCTTTTTGTGCACTTTTTTTTTTAAAGTGGGTTCATGAAATTTGTTTGTATTTCTACACTCTGTTCGCATCTTTATACTTACTGCAGCCCTTGGCAAGTAGAAGTTGGCATTCACTTTCAAGATCCTGATGTGAGTATCCTGAGACGACACAAGATGACAGTCTCCTCTGCTGAAGTCGAGGCTTTGTCGAAGACAGGCAAGGCTGTTAAAGTGCTCTATATATTGAGCAATAGCTCGATATATAGCCAAGACAGCTAAGGCTGTTAAGGTACTTTATATATTGAACAATATATTCGCAACTTATTGCTGCTAGGATTTTTTATACACATACTGTGTTTTTGGGCTGGCCTAGAGCCACTAAATAAGCTGCGCTTAGAGTATCGGTACTCCGTTCCCCGACATTGTTGTGGGCGCCGCCATTTCGGTGCTTGTGCAGAGCAGACACAACTGCCAATTGTCATGATTCATAAGTGTGACTTCCTCAGCATTAGATTCGGTGTTAGGGACCTCATGTAATATCGATTTGCTCTGTCGTGAACTGTTTCACCATTTGTGGAGGATGGAGAAGCATTTCCCGTGATTCAAGAAAAAGCTTCAGATAACTGACAGCCATGATTTTAAGCCACAATATGGCCAAGTGTCGTTACTCTGAAGCGTAGCTTATTTAGTGCCACTAGGCTGGCCTTTAGCAGTTTTCCGATGCCACTTGTGTGGAATGAAAGTCTGTAGGGGAATTGCACATTTCCTTCGTAAGCGAAATGCTGAGTTTACAATAGAAGTGCATCACACTTGCATCCAGTATTGCCGTGTGTAGTATTCATATTTTGTATTTGTTTATTTAGTGTTCCCAATAAAAGCCGAATCCTTCCCCTTGGTGCGCTTGTCAGTAGCAACACACAAACACGAACGAACGGTAAGAGTGATAACAGTGCCATTCCCGCCGTTCGCCACCGCGCCCATTGGTTTTAGGAGACGTTTGCAGTCTTGGTCTCTATGGTATTTGGTAATATATCGCACATGAACACAACCAGGGTGTTGAATCGTACCTACGATTCAACACTCGAAAAGACTTGCGTGAATACACCCTGTAGCTGGTCGCACTTTCAGAGTCATTTTAACGGTGCAAAAATAAATAATGGCTTTGGCATATTTGTCGCGCCAAACCCTGTCACACCCGTTCCGAACTCTGATTTCCACGAGATCACATTATCATCGTTTCTGCTGTAGTTGCATGGCAGACTCTTTACTTGTTTGGCTTCAATCTTTGTTAGGGGGATGCTGTAATCCGATTATACTCGTCCCTGATGTACTAGATAGCACCATATTTGCAGAGCTAGTCTTCCGTTTTTGTAGTTCCATCGAAATATATTTCAGATTTTAAGGTATTTGTTATTTGGCTTGTAAATTTACAAGCTTATCTAGATCTAGGGCAGCAAATATCTTGCCAGCAATCATGGTACGCGTCCGAAGTACATTGCGTTAACATAATTGACGCAACCTCTGATTTTTATTTGTCAGTGACTCTAGCGAATTGTGCACGCTAGGATTGCGTTTTTTTATTTGTTTGTTAGCTTCACATAATCTACAGCACATTTTTCACCTTTATACTCAGTGCAGCCCTCTCCAAACGGAAGCTAGCATCCACTAGGCCGATTCGTTCCTGCATCACCAACTGAGCCGAGGTTCAGGCTCATGGCAGTTCCAAAAGTTTGTTGATGATTAGCTGCCTTATATATACATCTGCGTAATAGCAGCTTGTACTGAGGGACAATTTGAAATGCATTTTAAGTTTAAAAAAATTAAATTTGCATGGGCATATTTGCAATGTGAAACCTTACCAAGCCTGTTCTGAACTTTTATGTTCTTGGGATTTCAATACAGCCGTTTCTGCTGCACACACCCTGCCTACGTCGGCCAGGTAGAGACTTGATTCATATGAAGGTAAACAAGTGATTATCAATAGCTCAGTGCTGTCCGTGGTGACGTTCTCGCCTTATCCGACGAACTACCACACTTGGTTCACACTTCGCAAAGCATTTGAAAAGGAGAGCAAGTCACTTGCTGCATAATGCTCGCAGTACTGAGCAGTCGACGATCGCTTGTTGACCTTCATATAGATCACGACTGTACTTCAAGCTCGGCAAGTGCTACACTTATCTAATTCAGCCTGGCTGTAGTGTTCTGAGCAGTATGTGTAGAGCTAGTTGATTTGCGTACACACAGTGGCTGTGCGGTATAAAACACGCCCAATTGGCGACATTCAACGCAGTCTCGTGTAGTCCCATTTATGTTTTGTTTTGGCGTGCATGTTATCCCAGGCAGCACACCAATGTTGGACCTACATTGGGCCAACAATGGCAAACGCTGGCTCCGGAGTTTGGTCCAACATTGGTATTCTGGCCGAGCGCAACTTCTTCCAATGTTGGCCCAGCCATTGGCACCAACGTTGGGCCATCGTTCAACCAATGTTCCAGCCATCACTGGCACCAACGTTGGGCCATCGTTCAACCAAC